CCAGTTCAGTCAGCGCGGTGGGTCGGYAGAGAAATAATATCCCTATTAAATAGCATCACATTCAATGAAGGATAAGCTTTTTGTGACCTCATTGAGGCCCGCGCCCAGTGTAATCAATCTTATGATATGCTGACAAAGTGCATGAGGGACTTCGTTTCAACACGTGGACCTTTTATTTTTCGCTTTCATAAAAGCATAACCCCGACACCTTAAATCATCGAAACTGAAAAATTAATGATGTGTTCGTCATGCTGTTGACAATAAAAACCTTTCATTTGTATGCCTGTTGAGTGAAGGGTCGATTAGCAGAGGTGATAACAAGCTGCRGAGTACCGGAAGTCATCAATGTTGCCCTGTCATGCGATTGGTTAGATGTTTTGTTAGATCAGTTTTCAAAAGATAATGAAATTATCAAAGTGAATCGTCGCCAGAAGAGAGCGCTGTCGTTGTAGCGTTTACGGGACGAATTCTGAAGCATTTTGGGCATCAACCAGGAAGCCGCAATGTTGTACAAAGGATGTTTGCGTGTTCTGGCTGTAGTTTTATGTCTGGTTACAGCTCAATCWATGGTAAGTGAAGGCGTTATTTATTAATCTTTAAGCAGCAAGCTTACTGTAGCACGCTGCTCGAAAAAAATTCCTGTAAACAAACCAGTGCCTACGCMGATCGGTTGACCACCGGACACTTTGTGCTTTGTATACTTTGAGCTCGCTGTATACAAGCAACTAGTCCGAGAAACGCTGCGATTCTGAAATTTTCAAATCATWATCATAAACAAACGGTTGTTAAAATTGTTTTAGTGGTTTCACGCCTAAGTTGATTCTGAAGTGGCCGAAGAAAACTTCAGTTAGTAAAATACTTGCTATACTGATGCGCTTCAGCGATTAGTATTCGAAAATTCACGATTTCATCAGGAATTTCTTGTTTCATGTTTATCTTGAAAGGGTTACTGTTTTGGTTGAAGGTATCAGTAAAAATGATTTTTATCGGTATATCTATTATCTTGTTTTACTGATTGTTCTGATGTTTATTTTTTCACGATTTTGTGTTATCATAGATAGTAGAATGGGATATTGATAAGCATTTCCTTAAATGCAATTCTGACTTCTGATCAAAAATAAATCTCTTGTGAGACAGCGAATATTTATTGGAATACCCAGGAAGTATTTTGCTTTTATTCACAATATCCCAAACACACCACAACTTCCGTAAAAGTTAATCGACTTCCCCAACCCCAAGGCACACCCTGGAATAGRCATTTCACGTGAGAAGGGTTGAAAAGGAATGACTTCCGGAGACACTTCCGGTCATATGATGATTTCCGGTTTCGATGTCTTAGAGCCAGGGTTGCACAATTTTAAATAAATTTTAATCATAAATTGAATATTATCTTGAATTTCATACCGCGAAACAATAGATTTCTGAACATTTTGCGTTAGTACTTGATTTTCAATGCATTGTGGGATCAGTTTCWAGAGAAAACAAAAGAAATCCGCCATGTTATGTCCCAAACATAACAATATCCTACAATACATTGCGGCACWTGACGTAAAAGCTTCAGAGGTATATTACAAAAAGAAAGAAATGAAATTGCTAGTCTTGGCCGACTGTGCAACACTGAACCTTATTACGTAAGTAATGTCAATGGTTTCTAATTTCTGTTTATCCATCACACGCGTGTTTAAATTGAATTATCACGCAAAGTGCAGACGTAAAAACATAGTTAAACTCGGATTAGATTCATCATATCTATTTCATGGGTCAATTACTTAATGTATTGCTCGACGGAAATCGATGTAATCAAATTCAGCTTCCTGTACGACAAAATTACGTAGGAAGTCTTCTGTCACATGCCGTTTGAAGTACAAATGAATTACACTTCACTAATATACAAGTATTGAGTTTCGTGTCACAAGACGTTTGCGTACGTTTTCTTTTGTTCCGCTAGAGGTTTTCGCCCTGTTTTTTGTATAATTGCAAGCAAAATAAGCCACTTAACTCCCGCCATCCTAAATTAGGACAAAATCGTGCGAAATCTGTATCACTTTGCCTTCCTATAGCACGGATTTTTATTTTATTTTTTTTCTTCTAA